TGTATGTGTCTGGCGCCTTAGCCGTTTGAGCCATAGGCGCTGAGCCGAGATGCATTTTTTAAAAAATAGGATGAGCAACCAAAAAAATAGCATGGGCCACAGGCTCCTGGCTGAACAAGCTCTTGATCAACAGGGCTGCATAGTGGCTAAAACAGAGAAATCATCTCTGACTAATTAATTATATGTTAAGTTAGAGAAGCTGAAAGTAAATATTTAAAAAACAAGTTACCACTATTTTATACGTGGAAATTGTATGCATTGTATTCTTTTTTTTTTTCCAGTAAGAAAATCATTTTTGAGTTATAATAAAACTATCTGGGGCCCTTTGGAACTGGTAGAGAAGTTGTACCCAGAAGCGGAGGAAATAGGGGCCAGTGTCCGGGATTTACCTGGTCTTAAGTAAGTAACTTATTACTGTTCATGCCTAACCACAGACATGTATTTACTCTTCCTCTGAAGTACCTCACATTCTAGTTTATTATGTTCTGTCAGCCTTACATCCCCCCCTTCTTCCCTTCTCTTCTAATAAAAGTCTGTTCATTCTTCATTGCTCAACCCCAGTTTCATTTCCTTTAAGTTTTTCTTAACGACTTTAATAAGAATTAACCACTCCTTTTATGCTCTTTGTCAACATTTTTCCTGCTTTCCTATATTTTCCATACTGTCTTACATTGCAGGAAATTGCAGTTCCCTTTAAGGTAGGATATATCACTTGTGTATATCTGTTTTCTAAGTGTTAAACTAATTTACATATAGTAGGCAGTCAGTAGCCTGATGTATTGAAGACTGATTTAAGCTACATCCAGGGCAAAGGCTCAGGAGATTCGTGCTTTCATCTGAACCATTTATATACATAGGAGTTGGATAAGTTACTTTCTTCCTTTGAAAAACATTGTGACCTATATTGTCATCAGCTTGTTTCATCAGACAAATGTGTGTGAAATGTCCTCAAAGCTAGAGTACTTTAGCTAAGAACTCGTAACTGTTGAAAAATTTTTTCACACTTGAAGTGTTAAAGGCTAAGTTCTTATGTTCTGTAGGGTGTAATTAAAATGGAAACATTCCCTTTAGCTTATCTTAATTCTTCTTCTTATTTATTATTTTTTTTTTTTGTAGTTTTTGGCCGGGTCTGGGTTTGAACCTGCCACCTCCAGTATATGGGGCCAGTGCCTTATTCCTTTGAGCCATAGGCACCGCCCTATAACAAACTTTTTTTGCAGTGTTTTTGGCCGGGGCTGGGTTTGAACCCACCACCTCTAGCATTTGGGGCCGGCACCAGTTTATCTTAATTCTTGTAAATTAGGTGATTTTTTTGTTTTTTTGGAGACAGGATCTCTATTTGACATTCTAGCATTGTTATACCTCACTGCAATCTCAGACTCCTAGGCTCACATAATCCTCCCGCCTCAGCCTCCTGAGTAGCTGGGACTACACAGGCACATGCCGCCATGCTTAGTTAATTTTTCTATTTTTGTACAGATGGGGTCTTTTGTTCAGGCTGGTCTCAAACTCCTTAGCTCAGGCATTACACCAGGGGTCCTCAAACTTTTCAAACAGGGGGCCAGTTCACTGTCCCTCAGACCATTGGAGGGCCAGACTGCAGGCCCCAGGACTAGACAGCTGCTAAGCAGGACAGGCAGCGGTGGCAAAAACACCCGGTGGGCCGGATAAATGTCCTAGGTGGGCTGCATGTGGCCCTTGGGCCATAGTTTGAGGATGCCTCCATTACACTCCCCTCAGCCTCTCAGAGTGCTAGGATTATAGGTGAAGCCAGTATACCCAGCCATCAAACCCAGATTTTAGAGCTATATAGCAAATGATGTTCAAACTTGATGTTACTTATAATGGCATACAGATGTAGGGACTTTTAAGAAACAGGAAAAATGGAGTTGTAAGGGAATAAAAGATTTGGTTTTATTTTAGTATAAAAATACATGTTTGGGTGTAGGGTGGCGCCTGTGGCTCAAAAATACATGTTTGGGTGGCACCTGTGGCTCAGTGGGTAGGGCACCAGCCGCATATACCAAGGGTCTTGGGTTCAAACCTGGTCTTGGCCAAACTGCAACAAAAAATAGCCAGGCATTGTGGTGGGCGCCTATAGTCCCAGCTACTGGGAAAGCTGAGATAAGAGAATTGCCTAAGCCCAGGAGTTGGAGGTTGCTGTGAGCAGTGACACCATGGCACCCTACTGAGGGCAATAAAGTGAGACTATCTCTAAAAAATATATATATATATATATATATATATCGATGTATGTTTGTATTTTTTTAAAAAGCTAAATGTTTCCTGATGGTGTTGGATAAAATGTTAAGGTATCAGACCCCAGGTGCCGTAGCTCACGCCTATAATCCTAGCACCCTGGGAGTCTGAGGCGGGTTGATTGCTTGAGTTTAGGAGTTCAAGACCAGCCTGAACAGGAGTCAGACCCCCCCCATCTCTACTACAAAAAAGAAAAAACAGCCTGGTTTTGCGGTAGGCGCCTGTAGTCTTAGCTACTTGGGAGGTTGAGGTAAGAGGATAGTTTATGCCCAGGAGTTTGGGGTTGCTGTGAGCTATGACACTAGGGCATTCTAGCCTGAGACAACAAAGTGAGACTGGCCCAGAGTGAGATTATGTCTGGGAAAAAAAAATACCATATTTTTACTGTACATGTTCCTTTTTTTTTTGAGACAAAGTCTCACTTTGTCACTCTCAGTAGAGTGCTATGGCATCTTAGCTCATAGCAACCTCAAACTCCTGGACTCAAGTGATCCATTGCTTCAGTCTCCTGAGTAGCTGGGACTATAGGTGTCCACCACCGCACCTGGCTATTTTCAGAGATGGATTCTCGCTCTTGCTCAGGCTGGTCTCCAGCTCCTGAACCCAGACAATTTACTCGCCTCAGCCTCCCAGATGCTACACATGTTCTATATTTAGATACATTTAAATATACAAATATTTAACCACTGTGTTATAGATGCCTACAGTGTTCAGGACAGTAATGTGCTGTCGGGTCTGTAACCTAGGAGCAGTAGGCTGTTACCATATAGCCTGAGTATATAGTAGAGTATTCCATCTACGCTTGTGTAAGTATGATGTTTGCACAAAAATAAAATTGCCTAAGAACATATTTCTTAGAATGTATCCCCAGTAGTAAGTGATCTTTGACTACATTTTTTTTTTTTTTGAGACAGTCTCATTATGTTGCCCTTGGTAGAGTGCGGTGGCATCACAGCTCGTAGCAACTTCAAATTCTTGGGTTTAAGTGATTGTCTTGCCTCACCCTCCCAAGTAGCTGGGATTATAGGCACCTGAAACAATGCCCAGCTATTTTGTTGTTGTTGTCATTGTTTAGTAGGCCAAGGCAGGGTTTGAACCCACCAACCTCCTTGCATGTGGCAGGTGCCCTAACCACTGAGCTATGGGCGCCAAGCCTCTATGACTATATTTTGAGAGTCATTTCTTTTCTTTTCTTTTTTTTTTTTTTTTAAGACAGTCTCACTCTGTTGTCACTATGTCATGCTCAATAGAGTGCCATGATGTCACAGCTCACAAGCAACCTCAAACTCTTGGGCTTAGTGATTCTCTCATCTCAGCCTCCCAAGTAGTGCCCCACACAACACCTGGCTGTTTTCTGTTGCAGTTGTCATTGTTGTGTAGCTGGCCCGGGCTGGGTCAAACCTACCACCCTAGGTGTATGTGGCTGGCACTGTTAACACTGTGCTACGGGTGCCAAGCTGAAAGTCATTTCTTCTAAGGCACAAAATGGTACCTCAGTGTCCCATAGGGGCAGATTTAGCTAGCTTCCAGGGTTTGGTTTGTTGGCTTAAAACTATAAAAATGAAAAGAAAATCATGATAAAAATGCCTCTTTTCTTTGTTAATGTGTATTTCACCGGAGAAAGAACATGCAGTCCATGACCTTAGGAATAGAACTGTTTTCTGACTAATTGGTTCTTTTCTTTAGGACACCCCTGGGTAGAGCGAGAGCATGGCTTCGATTAGCCCTCATGCAAAAAAAAATGGCTGACTACCTTCGTTGCTTAATTATTCAGAGGGATCTCTTGAGGTTAGTATTATTAAGTCACATTCATTTTTAATTTATTTTTATTTATTTGGGTTTTTTTGAGACAGAGGCTCACTTTGATGCCCTTGGTAGAGTGCAGTGACCTCACAGCTCACAGCAACCTCAAACTCCTGGGCTTAGGATTCTCTTGCCTCAGCCTTCTTTTCTTTTCTTTCTTTCATATCTTTTTTTTTTTTTTTTGAGACAGAGTCTTACTATGTTGCCTTTGGTAGAGTGCTGTGGTGTCACAACTCACAGCAACCTCAAACTCTTGGGCTTAAGCGATTCTTTTGCCTTAGCCTCCCAAGTAGCTGGGACTACAGGTGCCCACCACAATGCCCGGCTATTTTTTTGTTGCAGTTATTGTTATTTAGCAGGCCCTGGCCAGGTTCAAACCTGCTTGCCTCGGTGTATGTGGCTGGCCCCCTACCCACTGAGCTACGGGTACTGAGCCTTTTATTTATTTGTTTTTTGGTTTTTTTTTTTTTTGAGACAGAGTCTCAAGTGTTGCCCTGGACAAGAGTGATGTGGCGTCATAGCTCATAGCAACCTCCAACTTGAACTCAAGCGATCCTCTTGCCTCAGTTTTTCTATTTTTTAGTAGAGATGGGGTCTCTCTTTTGCTCAGGCTGATCTTGAACTTGTGACCTCAAGCAATCCACCCGCCTCGGCCTCCCAGAGTGCTAGAATTACAGGTATGAGCCACCATGCCCGGCCGAGTTTCAGTTTTCTGAATTATAGTTAATTTTATGGACAAAAATTTGTGTTGTTAAATAGCCGGGCGTTGTGGTAGGCGCCTGTAATCCTAGCTACTTGGGAGGATGAGACAAGGGAATTGCTTAAGCCCAATAGTTTGAGGTTGCTTGTGAGCTGTGACACCATGGCACTCTACTGAGGGCGACATAGTGAGACTCTCAAAAAAAAAAAAATTGTGTTGTAATTAGGGGCTATGATGCCACAGTTTTCTTTTTAGATCTCAAATGTCTAAATTACTGCTCCAGCTGTTCTTTTGAGATAGAATCTTGCCCTGTTACCAGACTGGAGTACAATGATACCATCATAGCTCACTGCAGCCTTCAGTTTCTGGGCTCAAACAATCTTCCTGGAACAGCCTTTAAAGTAGCTGGGACCATGGGTGGTTGCCACCATGCCTGGTTAATTTTTTTTTGAGACAGAGCCTTAAGCTGTCGTGTCCACTATAATGTGTAGTTATTGTTTGGCAGGCCTGGGCTGGATTCGAACCCACTGGCTCAGGTGTATGTTGTTGGTGCCTTAGCTATTTGAGCCATAGGTGCCAAGCTGCTAATTTTTTTTGGCCGGTACTGGGCTTGAACCCCCCACCTCCGGTATATGGGGCCAGTGCCCTACACTTTGAGCCACAGGTGCCGCCCCCGCTTTTTTTTTTTTTATGTTTTGTAGGGATGAGGTTTTGATATGCTGCCAAACTTTTGGCCTCAAGTGATCTTGCCACTTAGGTCTCCTAGAGTTTTGGGATTATAGACATAAGCAACCACACTTGGTTCTGAGTACAGGTTAAATTAAAGGCTAAATGTTATTACTTTCAGAACAAAGTAGTCAGTTTTGTTATTGTTGTTTTCTTTTATTTCTTTCTCTTTTTTTTTTTTTTTTGGTTGAGACAGTCTCACTCTCTTGTTGCCCCAGGCCAGAGTGCAATGGCATCATTAGAACTCATTGCAACCTCCAACTCCTGGGCTCATGCAGTCTTCCTGCCTCAGCATCCTGAATAGCTCAGGCTATAGGTGTATACCGCCATGGCTGATTAAGTTTTCTGTTTGCTTGCTCAGGCTGGCCTCTAACTCCTGACCTTAAGTGATCCTCCCACTGTGGCTTCCCAGAGTCCTAGGATTATGAGTGTGAACCACCACTTGGCCCAGTAGACAGTCTTACAAAGGAGTGGTCCCATGGTAGCCCTCCATCTGCCCTTGTTTATTAGAGTGTCTTTCTGATCTGGAAAATTTGGTCCTGTTTTAGGTTTTACTTTTTGTTTGCTTTTTTCAGACAGAAGGTCTTGCTGTGTGCACCCACAGTATAGTGCAGTGGCACGATCATGGCCCATTGTAACTTCAAACTCCTGAGCTCATGAGATCCTCCCCCTTCAGATTCCATGTAGCTAAGACTAACATGCCCAGATAATTTTTAATTTTTTTTTAGAATCAGCACTTTGTTTATAGACTGTCTTATCTCTTTCACAAGTCTCTTCTTTGGGCATTTTTTAGAGTATGGATATCCATAAGTATCTTTAATTGATGTTTATCTATTAAAGGCACAATACAGCTATCAAAAGCACTGACATGAACCTGGGCTTTGAAATGTTTCATATATTTGCTTCCCACCTTAGTCTTTATCCCTAGGATCTTAGTGAATCCTGAGTTTGAAGATTCAACTCTAATAAAAAGTATTGTAATCAAATCAGCAATAGTCACTCTATTCTTCTGAGAATCAGAAATGTTCCAAACTTGAGTGTTACTTCTTTTTCTTTTGATCTCTCTTTGCTTCTTTTCTTTTCTCTCTCAAAATTCCTTTCCACGCCTGTAATCCTAGCACTTCAGGAGGTTGAGGTGGGTGGATTGCTTGAGCTCACGAGTTCCAGACCAACCTCAGCAAGAGTGAGACGCTGTCTTTTTTTTTTTTTCAGACGGAGCCTCAAGCTATCCCCCTGGGTAGAGTGCCATGGCATCACGCTCACAGCAACCTCCAACTCCTGGGCTCAAGCGAG